TAATGTCTGCCACTTTTTTCTGATGACTGGCTGACGTGAAGATGTCGTTTGTAGTTTCGTCCTTCAGTTCAGTTTCTGTTCTGGATGTTGAACTTGAAGTGTGGTCTATCACCAGCTTCTTTGAAGGCTTTCAACTTGATTTTGAAGGCAGATTGCTTGCACTAGATAGTGAGTGGTGTGAACCTACATCTACTCCTCTTCTTGATATGATCTTGTGTCCAGCAGGCTTCATCTCCACTCTCTTGAGATTAGAATGAAGTCGATCTTATTTTGAGTGTAGTGTGTCCTGGTGTCTGGTGAAATCCAAGTCGCTTTGTAAATATCCTTGTGTTTGTACGCAGTGTATCCAATCACCAAACACTAAATGCTCAGAAGTCCGCAAACAGTTCTCCATTCTCATTCATTTCACCGGGTGCCCCTCTTCCCATGATCAGTTCTCTTCCTATGTTGTCCGCTCCCAGTTTGTTGTCCATGTCACCCATTAGAATTTTGATGTCACCAACTGGAGTGTTGTCCAATAGTGACTGCAGTTGTCTATAGAATTCCTCCTTCTTCTCTTCATCTGCTTTATTTGTAGGTGCGTAGCGTAACATTATATGATTGTAACCTTCCTTCCTTTTGATTTGAATCTTGCTGTCATGATCCTAATGCTGGAGTAGATTGGTTCCGACTGCACGAGACCCTTCGATGTTGTTGGGAACAACATCATTATAGCCACTTCCTCAGTGTGCTCGTGTTTGTCATCTGGGTGACAATATCGGAGTCGATTATTGACTCTCCATTTGACAGTTTGGAGAGTCCGCTTCCATTCCATCTGCAGATTCCTAGCACTTCTATGCCATACCTTCTCATCTCTTTTGCAATCTCGGCAGCCTTGCTAGGTTCATACATGGTGCAGACATTCCATGTTCCCATCCTTACTTTCGCTTTCATCGAGAAAGAAAAGACATCAGCGAAATTGGCTTCCCAAAGGCTTTCTCCAACCGGGGTCATTTCGTCTCTTCGATTCCAGTGAGGAATAAGTTTGTTTTTATTTTTTGTAATTTCTTTGTGCTTTGAAGTTTGTTTAGCAATTGGATTTGTTTTCCGGGATAGGGTTGCTAGCCCTATGCCCAACCTCCCCTGTTTATCCGGGCTTAGGACCGTCTGGTAACTAGTGAACTAGCTAACCGAATTCTGTACTATGGTGGCAGAATTCAGAACAACTGTTTTATTTATGTGTCTAAACTGTCATCCTTAAGACTAATAATTCGATTTTGTCTGTTGTTAAAATATGAAGCAGCTGAGCTTAGTGAGACGACGAAAATAGGTTTTTTTCTCTTAGTTTAATATTTGACCTATTAGTATCTACTGCGACAAAGGGAAACAAATTTTCAATAACTTAAGAAACTAGTTTTCTGTAAATCTTTAGAAACACGACCAACCTGGTACCACATACAGCATAAAACTTGTTTGGACATGGCTCATAGCCAGAAATCTCAACAGAGAAAGCTAATGCTTAAATGATAAGGCGATACAGATGATCTAAATCAGTGTTATTTTGAGGATATGGTTTAATTGCTCGTACGACCACAGTCTGTATTCGATGCTTCACATTTACATCTCATGGTAACTAATTATCATCCATGTTTATTAAGGTAAGACATTATAAGCTGAACTAAAAATTTTCAAAGCCTTTTGTTAAAGTTGTCCTAACAGGTTCTAAAGCTCAAAATCGAATACATGCTATCTAATTAGACCCAGCTAGGAAGAAAACATCGCTCAGTTTCTTCAGTGCTGTGTCTGTCTATCGCCTACGAGACAGTTGGCCATAAAAAGTACTTGTGTAGCTAGTAGACAAGAAACCATCTAGACCTTATCTTGTGAACGTTGATTGGGCTACTGAAAGCGTGGTGACAAGAAACGATTTCTAAAAGATCAAGATATATCAAAAATTCACCTTCCTAGTTATTTAAAACAAATGTATTTTACAAATATGTTTCCATAATGTTAGTCGGAAGGCTTGAAAACTTTGTAATCAAAGATCTTCTAAAGCTGCCTTCAGTTACCTTCAAAATACAATAGAAGAAACTACTTATAAATTTCATATTTTACTTAAAATGAATATAAAGTTTGGATAAGTGGTTTGATACTTCACTCTATGTAGTTTTTACAACACTAATCAGTCAAATAGGTTTATATATACTAGACGGAGTCAGGAAGCAACAATTCGAGTAAATATTGAGGGCACTTGGAGGTAGACGAAAATTTTAAGCTAACTTATTATCCAGTATGATTTTATCATTTTCGTATAGGAAGTTATAATCCTTGAGCACATCGTGAAATCTAGCTTAATCTGCTTTTTTCCTACAGAATACAAACAAACTATAGTTTATTTACTCAATTCATGGGACATTAATCCAAGGAAAGCTAACTTTAGTTGAGTAATCATCAGCCGAAAATGTCAATAGAAGGCAACAAATCTAAGAGTCTGTTATAAATATGCTTTTTTAGCAGTACTGTAAACTTAATAGAAGGACACATAGAACTATTGTCATTCGTGAGCACCGGTATTTTTAAAGTAACCTTCTAATTTTTTTGACATAGCTAATTGTCTTTCACCTGATGTTATCGGAAAGTATATCAGCAGCTTTTCAAATGATGAACTAACAATGTTTAAACAAATGTTGCTAGAATACAACTATTTGCTATTTCACAAATCAAAGACGAAAGTGAAAGGCGGTTTCAAAACATGATTTTGGTAGATTTATGAGAGGTGAAACTAGAAAGACTAGTCAGATGAGAATTTGTTGTTTCTCATCAGGGAGACTGTTAAGATACCATAAATGTTTCATTTTAAAGGCTGACGAATTCGAGGAGTGATTTATTTACTTCTTATCACACGTACAAACTAACTGACTACACTTATAAGAAATTAATGAGATTAAACTGTTTATGGCTTAGAAATTATCACGTCGGCTTGACATGGTAATTGGTTACAACAATAACTGCTGTGTTTCAGGTAAACAGTATATGAAGTTTTAGCTGGTGAATACTGAGAATCTTTTGGACCGTATGTGATGATAACCTTCAAAAGTCTACCACAGATGTTTGAATTGCATATTTTGTTAACATCTTAAAATTGGAATATTAACAAAAATCTTTGAATAAGGAGACGTTTTTATGGTTCAACTGGATTTACGTATATGGTTTCCCTTTTCACAATTGAAAAAAATGATTTTATATTTTATTATTATGGTGTTATGAAAAGGATTCCTTTGTATTCACGGTAAAACTCATTGTTCTACTCCTGGACGTTTCATTGCCAAACTTGGTGATGCAATCAGCGCTGATCTGTTGGAGATATTATAGGTAAAATACTAAAGCTTAGAGAACATGTAGCCACTTTCTTCCTCCCACTGAACTGCAAATACTACCGATTATATCATAATAGATAGACTTTTAAACTGCAGGTGTTCATGAAGTCAAAATTATTTGAAGATAAGGGTGCGAACCTTTTCGTTCAATTTGAAATCACATCCCACTTAAACTTAATGTGAAAAGAATACATGAGGAGATGTCATATGGGGATCTATGTAGTTATGTGTTTATAAGACCGAAATCAAAAGTCAATATCCAGAAATTGAAAGTCAGCTTACGTAATCAACAATAAACAAAGAATTGATGACTGTTTAGCATCAGTTTGATAGTATTTCGGTATTTAAGGTGATGGGTGGTAATTTGGCATTTAAGTTGCAGCATATCTGGAATCCAGTCAAACTTAGCTTTCGATTTATCATTGGATGTCATCACGATAATGATAATCTGTGACAGTATCACTAACAGATGATCAATTCATTCCTTTTAATTGACAAAAGAACATAAATTAACATGTTAAAATCAAGTTTGTGACTCAATTATTATTTTGTCCGAAATAAAATAAACTGTTTAAACTGTAAAAATTAGGTCTACGAAAATTTCAGAATAACAGCCGTACCAAACAATGTCTTCCTTCTTATAACTTTAAGAGAAAACCTGTGCTTATTTATTTACATATAGTATTATTATCAACATGAGTATCTTGTTATGGTTACATCTGGGTTGAGGTACTACAATTAATGTGTTCATGCTAAGGTGCCTTGCAACTGTTATAAACGTCAACGGCGTATGGTTATTCTCTTGTGTTCGTAAGCGTATCACACGACTTGGCTATAGTTGATCGCTAGTTTAGTTGGTGATGAAGGGTGGTACTAGCCTACAGATGCACTAAAAATGGTGATCATATGTGTGTAAATAAATTTGTCTGCTATCTAAAGTGGTCAAAATATCATCCTTAGATTAAAGTGTCCGCTTCAGACAACACGGAAGCTTCTCTATTCTCGATTAGTTAATTATCATATCTATCAAACGGAAAACTTTGGTTACTAAAAGTTATCATAGGTATGTTTACTAACTACAAATGTCCACCTGGCTAAAACTCACAAGAACAACCACGCAGCATGATTTATTTCAAAAACACAGACAATAATTAGAAAGACCTTTATTGATAAAGCAAACAAAATAATGGAAACATAGTCAGTCAATTATTTCAATGAATATTGAACCAAAATTATAATCCACCTCACCTTCCCCATTCCCTTAGCCTTAGAAATACCTTATCAGCAGGTAATTTTCTATTTGTTCGGTTAAAAATATATTTTGGGAAGTTAGGTGGCATATTACTGAATTGCTTGTTGATTAGACAGTCAGAACTACTGAAGCTATCAAAGGGTAAGAACTAAGCAAATAAAATAAATTAACAGCCATAAAATCCTAACTTATTGTTTAGCTTTTTCTCCAAAATAGTCTTTATATAGTTTATTGATACAACATTAAAGGGTTAAACAAGAATGTAGCTAAAGAATACACAAGAAAATATTTGCTTGTCTGAAACTATTTGAATGAAACGTACTTGACAACCAGTGCGTATAAAGTGGCATTCTTCTCTTCCTTTCATGCGAAAAAGTGCTTCGTTTTCCAAACTACCATGATGTTCTTGGCATAAGATAAGAGAATCGATCACTGTGACTACGTCTTAATGGTCGACTTCTATCCGGACTCGCTACGGACTCGACTGAATCGATGCGTAAATTTATTTCAGCAGCTTGTTTGTCCAATGCTTGAACAATCTGCTTTACCCTACCATAATATTTTGGCTGATCATCGGCGTAATCATTTTGTTCACAGTGTAAGCTTTCTAATGAGTCACCCCGTTGTTGCTGATGCTTTTGGCTTCTTGACTGATTTGCTTGTGGTTGGTTACTTGATGAGTTGTACTGTTGGTTTGTTGCATAAGAGGAAAATCTGCATGGTGGTGAATGAGTTGTCCTCCGTATAGGATAAACGTGTAGATTTGCGTATTGATTATACGGTGATGTTGGATTTGGTGAATCTTCCAGTTCTACGCGCAACGGTGAAGTATTTCTATATCGAATTACTGATTCATAGGGTTCATGGCAACTGTACATATTACCATTGTTACAGCTGCTATAAGTAGGCGGATTTGGTGCGACTTTGGGCATTGCGTGTATGGCTTTGGCATAGTAATCATGTTTTGTGGAACTGGTATTAATCTGATGCATGAACGTTTTATCTAAATATAGATGGTCTCTATCGTGTTCGATGAATGCAGTATTTTCAAATGGTAGGTAAATATTAGAAGCATATTGTTGAGGCTCACATAAAGTGAAGGGGTAACTGTTAGTTTTGTTATTATTACCATTAATAATATTAGCATTACTACTATCATTATTGTTATTATTATGACTGTATTGGTATTTAGTACTGAGATACTGATTGTTATGGCTGTGATCATTGCATTCATGATAGTTATAATCTAAATTCTGCATAGGTCTTCGGAAACAAGTAAGTTGTATCTGCTGAGGATGATGATGGTCTACGTTGTGATGTGACTGATTTTCCAGTTTATGATGCTGTTGTTGGTGGTTTGTCTGATCCTTTGCATAACAATCACGTTTCATAAATAAATTGTTTTGACTATTTAAATTGTTGATTTCAGAATCCCAACTTGAGGAAGCACTTAACTTGGGTGTTTGTCCAGGTGAACAATGAAAACAGTCAGAATAAAATGAACACTGAGCTAAATTTCTATTGGTTCTAATCAGTTCTTCAAAATAAGCACGTTTCCTGTCAAAATCTTCTGCTATTGGTGTGGTATCTATACAGTTATTCGAAAATTGTCTTGTCATCTGATATCTATTATCGTTCTCATCAACTGTGTCACACTGTATACCTTTATCTAATGATCTAACATATTCTTGTGGATAGCAAGGCGAATACCTTGGAAATACAATGTGTGGAGAGCGTGCTGGTGGTGAATGCTGCCTAACGTATTGTTGAATTTCTTTTTCTGTACACTCTTCCATATTGTTCGGTGTTGAACGAGGTGGACTTCGCATACTTGGTGGTGACCAGCTTCCTCTGACCTCGTGGTATTTTTGTCTGTCTTCACTGATTTCTTCAGCACGTTTAATCCATTCCTTCTTTTCTCTATCGCGAAGGCGTCTTGCATTTTCCATGCGGTGTGATTCCACACAACTCCTATGTTTAATACAGTTGATAACTTTGTTTGCTTCCCTACTTCGGTGCTGTTTACATGTTGGTTCTGTATAAGGCATGCTATATCTTTCTCTTGTTAGGCTATGAGATTTATCAGATATTTTTTGCCTACTTCTTGAAGCACTCATTGAACTCAACCACTGACTTCTGAAAGGTGGTGGTGGTGATAAAGATTTTACTGACCATGAACGACTTAAGTAAGGTCTATTTTGTGTCATATATCGACCTTTATCAAAGCGGGTTGATCTGTTTAGACAAGGCTGAGAAGCACGAGTTTGTTGAGTTGGACTACAGTGACCACTGGTACAACGCAATATATGTGGGTGCAACTCAGTGGGTGGTGGAGTTGGCAATGGCTGTGGAGACAGTGATGTGTTTCTGTTGTGACTGTATGTATGCTGCTGATTGGGTTGGCCAAATTTTATCCTTGGTTGGATCGCTGAACCACGATCCTTTTGTGATATGGTGGCTTTTTTTAGTTGAGTAGGATTATCACCTGGACTACTGTGATAGAGCTGCACATCTTTCGGTCCATTAGAAAGACCCATATTACTTATTTTTGACAAAGCTTGAGACCTAAAAGGTGTAGACGGTTTATTTTTGTAGTGCTGTAGAGATTGTTCTGCAACCCATAAATTTGTAGCTTGCACCGTCGCTTGACTTGGGCTTGGCCATTTAGATACTACATAAGTTGTGATAAAATTCTTAGGCTCAGATGGCATTGGTTTGTCATTTACGCGTTCATATACAACAGCTGATCGGACATATACACCATCAGAAGAAGAGGGATTTACACAAACAATTTGATCTGGTTTCAGATTATATTTATCGTACTGGACTAAAGATTGGTCAGCATTTTGTTTATTGATTTCCGAAACCTTATTATCTCCATTATTGCCTTTCATAAGATTCCTTGTCTTTGGGTTTTTGCCATCTGTAGTTCTTGCTATGGTATTTTGTGCCGACCTATTAATTTGGTCCTCCTTAAGTAATGAATTCAGTAATGGTGATAAAGAACGCTGAGTGATTGAACATGCTCGATAACGAGACAGTGAGCATCCTCTATCCAAATGAACTGGTTCAGATTTTCTATCAAGAGCCAAAGATCTTGAACGATAAGGTAAACTCATTGATAATATAGGCTTAGCTGGTTGGCTCCAACAAGATGAGTAATTTTTGTTTTTGCGTCTACTTTTATTCTTCGGTTTGTTTATGCTACTGTTTTCATTGTTAGTGGCGTTTGTAATCTCATACGATTTGTTAACAAATTCCATAGATGGCGGTAGAGGGAGTGGAGGTGGTGTAGGTAGCTGACATGGTTTGGGGCTGGGTGTACGAAATTTCGGAGGACGCGAACGAAATTCTACAGAATTCATTCGAAGTGATTTAATTGGTTCAAATGATTTAGAACGGTTTAATTGGTTTAAATGTTCATTTTGTTCTACCGATGTTATTACTGTTTCCTCTTCTATAAGCTTTTTATTATACTCGTTAAATGCACCAGATTCAAATAGCTTCCGTAATTCTTCAACGGATGTACGCATTTTTCCATCTTTGAGGTAGGAAAACTCTTCCATAGGATCAATTTGTTCTCCACGATTGTTGCTGGAGATTGAACAATGCAGCAATTTATCATATGTGTTACGTCTTAATCTACGATGCGATTTTTTCTCATGATTGTTGTAATTTCCATTATGATCAGTATGTTCAGTTAGTTTGGACGCATTAGATTTTGTAGACTGTTCTAGATTCGTATAATATTGTTTAAGCTGCAAAACTGATTGTGAACTTGGTGTTACAGTAGAACATGTGTAAACATTATAATGTTGTTCTGGCATCCACTCAGATGAAGCATCCCCTCTACCATTTTGACTCATCATAATTTCACCACCGTTTTCTTTATTTGACAAATTTCCTTCTGGTATAAGGGTAGCTGACTGATCCACGTTGCTATACTTCTGTGAATCTTTAGTATCTCTTATTGATTCACTCGGCTCTTGTTGAGTATGCTTAATTTCTTCTTGTTCTATCAATTCCGTTTGAGAGGGAATTGTTATGGCCTGTGGCAGGGATGGTGTTGTTGGCAGTGAGGCTGTGGTTGGATGATCTATTAGTGGATTCGTATCTCCCAGGAGTGGAGCTTCTGATAGTGGGATAAGAGCTGGTTCTTCAATGGGTGAATGACCAGATTCTACAATTTCATTGTCAGAAAACTCTGTTGACATTTATCGAACAGGACCGTATATAAATGCCATACAAACCAGACACTGAGAACAGTTATGTTGAGGTCGTTCCGACTGTTTCATTGTCAGATAACTTTTAAGTCAGACATGAAGAAGTGAAGAATTAAAGTAATTCGGTTACAAAACCCTACCCAACTTGTATTTAATATCTTCTAGGAATGTATCACTTTCTTGATAGATTGTGTGATGTTTTACACCTTATATCTGGAAATAAAAACAAAAGAAAATTACTTTGCACTTTGATCGACACATATTAAGAGAAGTCAAATATTTACTTATAGTGATTATACAAAATTCATCCACTGTTAACCATTTACGCAAAAACGTTTATGGAAATTAATTTTCTTTCAAATGAATCATTTTCAAAAGCTATACATCGTAATCATAGTTACAACAAAATATATGTATTCATCAATGACAAATGGGTCTGTACAAGGTCATCAAAAACGGTGAATAAGGTAACAAGGTGATAATGCCTAAAAGGTCGAATCAGGGTCATCAAAAATGGTTCATTAGTAAGAAAATGATAAATAAGCAAAGAGGTGAATAAACCATCCTAGGGAGATTACCACCAAGGCAAAATCGGAGACTGAGTGTATCTTTTCTGAACGCAAAGATCAGGCCTGTAATACTGGATTGCCAGAGCTTTTGTTATGTTGAGGTGCAGAATATGCACTCGCTTCGAAATGTTTGTGTTCACTTTATAAATGATATTGAAAGAAGACTCTCGTGGCGCACAGTGATCAGATATAACCAAACGCTCAAGAATTGGGCTGTAGACGGCTCTACACTGTTCTTTAGACAGAAATGCAGGATAGTATTCGGAGATGCGTTTGGACAGAACATGCTGTGTGAGGCCTATGTAACTAGCTCCACAAAAGTAGGTGAATAGGTGAACACACATAAAAGTGGCTTAAAACGAAAGTTTATAGTCCTATAAGTAATTTTTGATGACCCTGATTCGACCTTTTAGGCATTATCACCTTGTTGCCTTATTCACCGTTTTTGATGACCCTGTACTGACCCAGTTGTCACTGATGAATATATATATATATATATATATATATATATATATATATAATATATATATATATATATGGTTGTAACTATGATTATGATGTACAGCTTTTGAAAATGATTCATCGAAAAGAAAATTTTCCTCGCTGAATCGTTTTTTATTTATTTTCAATATATAATGGTAGTGTTACGATTGCTGATAAAAAACTTTATGTTGTATAGCCCTCTAAGGCTGTTAACCTGTTCTTCACCTAAGGAAGCATACCGATCGGCTGACAACCTTATTTAGAAATCAGTTAAATGGCTTCTATTGATTGGATGCTGGTGCTGCCTCAAGCAATCAAACTGTTAGAGCTTCGAGAATATATGAACACTACTACTCAGTAACCGATACTTCATTTGGAATTCAAAAGTACAAATGAAGATCTCAGCAATTTTAAATGGCTTTCAAATAGGTATTGTTAAAAATACCGCTCACATTAGGTGTATTTTCTATGAAAAGTAGTGATATGTAAAGCGCATTGCATTCTATCATGATGTTGCATCTGTCTAACCAGGTTACGATTGAAGATAGGTACTATGCGATCATAATTACGAGATCATAATCACATTTTGAGGCTTCGAGTCATTTTGATTGACAAAATCAGCCTCAGTGTAAGCTTTTAAACTGGCAGGTAGTAGTAGTTTAGTATTATCCGATTGTTTCAGCGATCTGGCTGAATGACGGGAAATGTCAGTAAGTCATTTAGAGCCACTTTTATTTATAAAAGTTTACTTCACGACAGCTATTCTACAAAGAATGATCAATTAACTAAGTCTTGGTCTGCTTTGGGAAACATACTTCAGTTTTCAAATAGCTTGGTGAATATTCTTAAGTGAAGTTTGATTCCTTTAATCACTTGGTGAAGAAGAGGACGTAGCAGCTGGTTAAGGCTTTAAAGTAAAACCGGGGATTAGCCATTCAATTGTAGTCCATCCTTTTGTGTAAGCACGGTATATATAATCAAGATTGACATTTTTAAGTGTGGAATTGCCCTCAAGACATATTTTCACTTATTGTAATCCCAGAGGCTTTCAAAGATGCTGACAGTGAACCAAACGAAAGTTGCATGTTCGAAATCGGCTTTGAAATCCATTTAATTGCCATTATATTCCTCTAGTTTTACCGGTAATTGGCACCACATAAGGCTGAATTTTCAATTTCTCTAGGATGCAAATTTGAACATTTATACCGTGAAAACGGGCTTCGTAGTTTTGTAAAGCAGGTAAAAAACCGGCGAGTAGACTGATTCCATTTTCTAATAGCTTAGCTGTTCAAAGGATACTGAAATATAGTAACCTAGTTGCTTTCACCAAATGTTTACTAAGCAAACTTTTAAAACTTCTGGTCACTCGTAACTGCAGTTTATCATAATTTAAAACAGCTTACAACATGTAGAATCTAAGTTACCACTCTGCTGTATCAATTTAGTTTTAATTCTCTCTGGCAAAATCTTGGATGCATAATTCATATTGCGGTGGTCTTCACTGTTGTAACCTATTCACTGTTGGAAAACGTGACCAGCCACATAACCAAGATTGAAGACTGGATCGAAATGACAGCAGCAGTACAGAATAAAACACTAAGCCAAAACATTAAGACAATTTGAAACAGTAACACTGAAACTTCTTGCAGATTCCAGAATGAAAATATGACCTGATAGAATCAGATAAACTTAGCTCTGGACAAGTGGTTTACAAAGAAAACAGATGGTATGAACACCGATTGCAGATATGATTTTTAAATTTACCAGTTCTCCTGGATTATTCGAAGGTCATTTTGTGTGGCTTCCTTGCTCTTCAAAACAAATGAAGATTTCTCAGTATGACTCCCTAATGTAACCGACATCACAGACAAAACAATCTAAGCTATAGGCACAATCCTGTGTGGAGATGAAACGAATTGTGTTTTTCATGTGAGCTATAACATCCTCAACGGTTAGTTGTCTTTCGGAAGGCTCGAATGGTATGTTCTCTGAAAATCTTCCATAATTATTCAGTTGTTCGTTGATAGGGAAGTGAAACCACTGTGTTGAATTGAAAGTTATCACCTGAATTCTAATTTGAGTTTTTATGCTCATGATTTCTAGTCTGAACTGATTCAGGAGGGCCACAAAGCTGTTCACCGATAAAATATACAGACAAATAGAATTAAAGGAAATGACATATTTTGTATTACAATAACTACCCTTAGAATGTCACTCAAAAGGTTGAAAACCAGACTCTTGTGGTGCCATAGCAAGTTAAAAAGTTGGTCGTTTGCAACCAAGAATGAAGGATTTTCAGCTATATGAAAGGTATTTCTACGACATTTTCTCCATTTGTGATAATAAACGTGATTTAAATAACGTACTGCATCTAAATAATGTCTGCCATCCGACGATGAAATTCACCATCGAAGTGGAAAAGTGATCAAAAATTTCCTATCTTGATGTAGAACTAAGGAGAAAAATTGATGCATCTTTGAGGAGGTCAATTCATAGAAAGCCCACATGGAATGGGCGACTGACAAATTTCGACACCTGGGTGTCCGTCGGTCGGAAGAGGAATTTTATTTTATCCTTTGGCCCAGACGCTATAGATGAAGAGATAAGCATTTTGAGAAACAGTTCCATCGAAAACGGATATCCACTACCGTTCATAAATAAAAACATCAAACTTAAGCCGCCAATACACAATTCAGTTTCTGCATCGAAAAAGATACTATATTTGAAACTTGACCTCAAAGGTGATCAGGTTGTTGACATTCTAAATAAAAGGGTTTCAAGTTACCTGAAGAGAACTTTCTTTGTACTAGCTCTAAGAGTAGAGTTCTCTGTTGACTCTTTAATTAACAAACGTCTGGAATACAAGATACAAAATATCAGTTCATCTGGTCATGTGGAACAGGTTACGTTGGTCCTCCAACGTGGGTCCTGTCCAAAAGGGTTAAAGAATACTATCCTACGCGGCTACAAATAGGTGGCGGTGGATCTATAAGAAGTGCGATAATGGGACACTGGATTGGTCATTCAGTCTCAACAGTTACTTCTCACTGCTATTTATAAAGTGAAAGATACTTGTCAAAGTGTGCATCCACCTATTTTGTATTGCTGGGTCCAGATAGAAAAACCGGAACTTTGCATACAAAAAAGACTTCTTCAAAAATTCCTCCTTCATGGTCTTGATAATTAGGTATACAAATCTAATATGGAGTTAAATTCCATCACAATGCCCAAGTTGTACACATACTTCATGGTCCTAATTTTCAGCGTTTCTGAACGTCCACTCACCTCCTTCTGAATTTTTTTCCATTTATTCTTACATATTACCAACCACTCCTTGTTTCTATACCCACTCTGATAACAAGCATTCAATGATACTTTGTCATATTACTCAACTGGTTATTCAAACCTAATCATCCCTACTTAATTTCTGTGACATCTTGAGCAATATCCAATAATCTTAGCTACCCTGTATTTTATTCATGACAAGTTAAACGTCACTCGTTGCCATACCTTCGTTTTCTTTTCATTATTCATAACATTTTGAAAATTTTAGGATGAGAATCTTGTTTCTATTATAATATATATGTATCACAATGCTGTCATGCCTAACAAACTGCTTTCATATACGAA